TGAAAAATTATCCAGCCTACTCGGGGAGACGAGGGTTCGATTCCCCTGGAGGCATAAGCCCGCGGCAGCCATTTTTTTACTACTGTCACATCCTACTCGTTTTTTGATAACTTCGGCTGAAAATTTTCGCCCATCCGGAATCCTCTTCTGAAGGCTTGAGTTCACGAAGTAGCAGTCGAGCCGCTGAACAGTGCCTGAACTCGGTCAGGTGCTCATATCGCGTCTCTTTCCAAAAGCCAAACAGGGCCATACAACGCGCTTACTGCCTCATCTTCATTTTTTTTTTTTTGGCGATGAGAAATGTCAACTGATAGGTATTGTTCGGCGTCCGTGCGCGTGGAGATAATCGTAAGTAAGCAAGTACATAGAATTGTCGTTCGGCATTAGTCCATGGTCCATGCGAGTCCAAGAAAGTCCTGTCAACGTCTCCCATCCCACCGCTTCTCATAAACGCACTCTCCCCCCATCCATCCAACAACCAAAACACTCAAGCTGCCCACGGGAAGGGAAGAAAAGACAAGGCGGCTACATTTGGTCCACGCCCTCCGCGCACAGGCCGCAGCCGATGCATTCGAGGCAGGCTAGGGAGGAAAGAGCGTGTTAGTGCGTGTGCAGGTGTGAGTATAAAGGAAACATGGAGGAAGGAGGGGAGGGGAAAGGAATAGACATTGAGGACGGAAGACGGGGAGGGTAGACAGGGGAAAGAGGCGGGAGGGGGGGACTCGTCGTCGCGCAGCCGACACAGTCCGACAGGACGCATACGAGAAGAAGACGCGAGGCGCATCCTCGCCCCACGTCACGTCATCACCCGGGTCCACTACGCTCACCCACGCTTCTGGCCCCGCGTGGAGAAAGTGGAGAATTGTGCGGGTAGGGGCATCTCCCCGTCCACGTTCGACGTAGCGGACGCACTCGCCTCGGCGGCGAGATTCAGCCCCGCTGCGCCACCCAGCCACGCATATCAAGGAGAAGCCCCAGTGCCCCAACATGTCCCGACGCCGCAGCCTACCCCAAATGCGCAGCAGCCCCCTACAGATCGCGGTATGCCGTATGCGCTCTCCGCAGCGACGCCACCTCCATGTATCCGCCGTCGACGCAGAAGCCCACAGTCTCCGCGGGAACTCGTCGTCGCGCAGCCGACACATTTCGACGGGAGGCAGCGCAGACGATCCAGCTGTCCACTACGTCCAACGCAGAGGAAAAGAATAGAGGATCGTGCGCGCCTCGATGCGGGAAGCGTTCACCCTCGGCAGAGGGAGGTCTATCCCGCTTGCCATGCACCGCCGAGCTACGCAAACGAAGCACGAGACCGCGCCGCCCGGTCAAGGCTGGTATCGAGCCTGCAGGCGTGGTGCCGACGTGCGCGCGCGCGCATATACACGGCCACCAAGAACGCGCGCGCAGCTACGACGCAGCGAGCACGGCTTCCGCCTCGGGGAAAAGGTCACGACAAGGCCGCCTCACGACATTACGACGACACGGGCGCCTGCCTCCAATGACGGGCCCGCCAAACGACGCGCACGCAGCTACGACGCAGCACCGACTCCGTCCACCACGCAAGAGCTCGCTCGCTCGCACGGCGTGCCCCGAGAAAAGGTCACCACAAGGTCGCCTCGCGAGATCACAACGGCGCCTCCAATGTCGCGGGCATAGTTTGGGACGCGGCGCGACCACACGTGTCCAGCCGACGTAAAGTGCCCGCGGAGGCGGGATGCAAGACATGCAGGAAGAGGAGGGACGCGTATCTGCTGCCACCGTGTACCCCCAACAACGACGCGGAAGAGCGGACCATACACGCAGCTCCGGCGCAGACCATCGACGCAGCGCAAATCCGGCAGATAGCTGGGAAGCAGCGCGCCACTCGCTCGCGTCACGCGTGCCCAATCGACTTGAATTGCCAGCGGACGAAGGACGCCGCGGACACAGGACGTAAGACACGACCGCAAGATACAGTCACAAGCGCTGCGGCGGTGGGGGGGGGAAGGAGCGGGAAGGAGGGAAAGAACAGAAGAGATAGAGGAAGAAGCGGAGGGGGGAGGGCGCAAAGACGGGACGGCTCACCTAAACCACCGCAGCACGCGCACAGGTAGCACGGGCAGCAGCAAGGGTTCTCGAATGCGCCTGTACGACATAAGAGCATTAGAGGGGAAGACAGTGAGAGAACAGTAATACGCACCCTTGCAACACCACGCGCTGAGCATGACGCCGAGTATGAGTACGACGAGCAGGCCGACGAAGATGACGATGAGGTACACTGGTTTATCTTAGCATCTCCCCGTAATGCATGCACGAAGAAAAGACGTACACTTGCGCTTCGTGAAATCCGACTCGGTGTTTGGCCCCGTAGGGCCATCGTCCACTGCGCGGCGCACCAGCCCGCTCAGCCACCCCTCGCCCACACCACCCGCGCTTGCGCCCGTGTGCATCCCGGAGACGACGCACGAGACCGCGAGCAGCCCCGCGAGGCCGAGGAGGATGAGCAGCGCGGGGAGGAGCACGCGCCGCAGGGCGTGGTTGTGGTTCTGGTGCGCATGCGAGTGGGCATGCGGGTGCGCGGACCATTGCTCGTCGTCGTGCAGGTGCTGCTGCTTCTCGTTGAGTGGTGCCTGGGCGTAGATGTCCATAGAGGGCGCGTGGGGCTGCGTCGTCTTGAGCGTCGGCATCGTTGTGGCCTTCGTTATGGGCTGCATTGTAATAGTAATGGTGGTGCTCGTGGGAGTCGTAAGTGGAGCTTCAAGATCGCTTGGGGGTGCTCAAAAAAGGGAAAGACCCAGGAGTCGCTTAACGTTAGGAGCAGGAAGGAGGAGTCGTACGAGCAGCCAAGCGTATTTAAGACTAAACAAGGCCTAGGCGAGAAAAGAAGCCACCGGTTGCCTCGAGGTGTTGCCCAGTCGATGCCAAATTGCTTTTATTGAACCAATTGCTGTACCCGTCCCAGGATAAATGAATGGCCAAAGTGGTTGCTGCGGACGATCTTCAATTTTAGCTTGGACGGAAGTCGTCGCCGACGTGTCGGGCCGCCGACCCCGCGCACGACAAAATTAATCCTACAGGCTGTACGCGTCGACTGCGGTCTGCCAGCGGAGGGCATGTACAGCCTCGGGCTGCGCAGCAAAATTAGGGCACAAAACCGCGTACGGTGTATAAGGGTAAGGACTCGCCTTAGACCACTTGTAAAAATATGTGGCGGTGCATGATGACGTTGTGGTTCGCACGGTGATCGGCCTGCCAAATTCTCGCATAAGCCCGCATTTGGTCGATCCACCTCATGCGAGCGCAATTGAAGCTCAAAAATTATAAAAGTTTCGTCCATTGGAATTCATATGGTAAAGAGTCCCCATGTGAAATCCGATGGTCTCTCGGCAAACGGTTGAGGAGTATAATGCCCATCAAAATTATCTTCCAGAAGTGGGGCAACCTTAGTATGATGCGACAAGTGCATGTGGGCTCATTATGTGACGAGAGTCGAACACAAGAAGATAAAAAAGAAGCTGGAGCCAAAATAATTTACAAGCGGATTTCGTATAAGAAAAACAAAAGACGATCTGAAGAGTATATACTATCATTCGGATGCAGGGATTCGAACCCCGGCCTTCAGCTTAGCAATTGACATTTTGGCAGGATAAAGAGCTGATGTGCACCATACACCACATCCGAGTTATTCTTCACCATTTGAACCTGGCTAGAGGTATGTCTGTAAGGAGGGTTTTGTGGTCCCAAAAATAAAAAGGCGAGGCAAATTGGGATTTTCTGACATTAATTAAAAACAAAAAGGGTGGGGTTCGACAAATTGGGATGCAGGGAGTCGAATCCCGGCCTTCAGTTTATGGCCTTCTGTTGGGATCACATCCGAGTTATTCAACACCATTTGAACCTTGCTAGAGGGATATTCTTTGGGTGAGGTGTTTGTGGAAGAAAGAAAAAATACAACACAGCGGAACAAATATTCGGATGCAGGGAGTCGAACCCTGACCTTCAGCTTGCGCAGGTTCAATCATTGAATGAGGAGCTGATGTGCGCCATGCACCACATCCGGGTTATTGCATTCCTTTCAAAGCTTGGTGAGTGGGTGACTTTTCAGCTCTGAGTTTGGCCAAGAAGAAGAGAGACCATCGGCAAATTCGGATGCAGGGAGTCGAACCCCGACCTTCAGCTTAGACTCCATACTATCTGCCGATAGAAAGCTGATGTACACCATACACCACATCCGAGTCACTCATTTCCTTTCCTTTCGAGGCTCAGTAGGTGGGCGCCTTTTCATCTCGGTGTTTAAAAAAGAACACAATGAAATAATATTCGGACACAGGGAGTCGAACCCCGACCTTCAGCTTAGACTGCTATCTATCTGATGATAGAAGACTGATGTGCACCATGCACCACATCCGAGTTATTCCCTTCCTTTCAAGGCTCAGTAAGTGGGCGCCTTTTCATCCTCGGTGTTTAAAAAAGAACCCTTACGAGAAGAGATTTAGAGATTCGGACACAGGGAGTTGAACGTTGAACCCTGACCTTCAGCTTATACTTGGTTACAACACGCAGAATAGAGGCTGCTGTGCACCATGCACCACATCCGAGTAATTCTGACCATTTGAACCTTGCCAGAGGCATATTTTCAGAAATGATTTCGGGTAGTTACAAAAAAAAAAAACGGCGGACAAAGGAGTTCGGATGCAGGCATGCGAGGATATTCGTGTCGCATAAAGAGCTGATGTGCACTATACACCACATCCGAGTTATTCAGCACCATCTGAACCTTACTAGAGGGATATTTTGGGTGGGGTCTTTGTAGAAGAAAGAAAAAATACAGAGCAGAATTATTCGGATGCAGGGAGTCGAACCCTGGACTTCAGCAGCTTATGTCATGTCTGAGGCAACATGAAAAGCTGATGTGCACCATGCACCACATCCAAGTTATTCTTCACTATTTGAACCATGACAGAGGGATATTTGAGGGCAAGGATTTTGTTGAATAACAAAATAAAAAGGATTTCAGACGACCATTCGGATGCAGGGAGTCGAACCCTGGCCTTCAGCTAACTAGTACTGTCCCAACACAAAGAGCTGATGTGCACCATACACCACATCCGAGTTATTCCCTTCCTTTCGAGGCTCAGTAAGTGGGCGCCTTTTCATCTCCGTGTTCAAAAAATGAACCCTTACAAGAAGAGATCTAGAGATTCGGACACAGGGTGTCGAACCCTGACCTTCAGCTTATACATCATTCCCACACGAATAATAGAGGCTGCTATACACCATGCACCACATCCGAGTAATTCTGACCATTGAACCTTGCCGGAGGCATATTTTCGGAAACGATTTCAGGCAGTTACAAAGAAAAGGCGGGGAACAAGGGAGTTCGGATGCAGGGAGTTCAGCCCTGGCCTTCAGCATGGGAGAATAGGTGTGGCGAATGAAGAGCCGATGTGCACCATACACCACATTCGTGTTATTACATTTCCTTTTAAAGCCGGATGAGTGGGCAATCCCCAGATTTCCTGATAATGACTTGCACATCCGTGATTCGCTCTTACCCACTTCCTCGTTCCTTTTCATACTCAATACCAATCTTACGTTCCTTGGCACCTTTATGTCCCTTTATATTTGATTTACAATACACCTTTGCTCCCGCTTCCCATCTCGCTCGGGAATGCAAGTTCTCCAAAAGTGCGGAGCCACGGTGCACCTGTAGTTATGAGATGGTTATGGAAAGGGTACGGGTTGTGCGGGCCTCGAAGATCGGCGACAGATACAGTAGGGGGGCTCAAAAATGGCCGCAGCTCCGCATTTGACGGCGCATTTCGAGTTCGTAGATTTTCCGCAGTTTTCTTCACGGCACACGTTTTTTTCAAGCTCCGCTCACACCCAGTTTCACCCGCCCGGTCCCGAGAATGATCCCTTATGATCCCCGATCAGAATCTCGAATATACAAGCGAAAATGTCCTCTGTTTATTCAATACCTGTTGGATTATTGTTCTATTACTACTATCCTCTTATTTTTGGTTCTTTTTTGGCGCGTCATTCGCGCCTGTTTTACGCGTTTCTTGCGACGTGCCTGGTCACGGGACAGCGATTTCATCAACGGTTGATCAATATTAATCTGCCAAGCGGTGTTGAAAACTACCAACATCTGGAAACTAACCGTGGTCTGTAGGTGTCTGTCCCAGACACTATAGACCACATAGTGCTATAGACCAACCCCCGTCTGTTTCAGACACCCACAGACACTCCCAGACCGATCATCAATTTCGGCTAATTTCGGCTATCCCAACTTGGCCGAGGCATCAACTGGCATCAACGCGATTTTAGACAGGCCGTGGCACTGAATTATTCTAAAATTGGTTTGTATTTGCCTGCAGACTCCAGAGCATAAAGATGTAGGCAATGGATATATTGACCAAATAGTACGGAAGGGACAAATGCTCGTAGACTACTAGTACTAATAAAAATAGCTATATATCCTACTGGTACTCTCGACCCACGACGGCATGCTAACTAACTAAGTTCTGAGGCGACTTGAGTTGTGTATTTGCCAGAGAATTGGGGGAGCTCTGGGTCCTGGAACCAGTGGTATTGTACGTTGCAAGCTTGACCCTTCAAGTTGAAATGTGACCCTTGAAGCTTGAAGGACTTGAAGGGGGAACTCAGAAAGATGGGCAAATTTGGGGAGAAAGAGAGTTGCGGGGAGAAAGAGACTCGCGTGCGCACTTGGATGCACTCTTACTTATAGAGATTCGAAGTGATTTGGAGCAAATAAAACGGCACCGTGTCGGCATGTAGATCACCATGTGCAAGAAGTGATGGTATGGCCTGGTATGGCGCGACCATGTGGAGGCAATGGTCTGGGATGGTCTGGCAGAACGTAACTGTGTCTGTGGCTGTCTGTGGGTCTGATTCTGTCTGGCACAGACGGCCCCTGTCTGTACTGGAAAAACCTGTTTCCAGATGAAAAGAGCTATAGTACGAAACGAAATGCGAAGCCGCAGCTCAACTTTGACCTAGGCTCTGCTAGGCTAGTGAGTCGGGGGTGAGTTTCTACTAGTGCCGTAAGATACTTCCCACCTTGATAGATGGCTATCGGCACCCGTGGTTTCCGACGCCAGCGTCTTAGGGCCTGATTGGGTCCCACGCTTCGACGAAGCGTCTGTAGGTCATAGGTCACTCCGGTCCGAGATAATCCAGATCAATTTCATCTACTGCTGGCAACGCAGAAATGTGGCTGCTCATAAGCTTTGAATCTGGGGTGCTTCTTGACTTTAGCCTGAATTAACACGCATGATCTCAGAAGTACATAGAATTATTTTATTTTATTTTTTCAGACATTGCTATCAAGCTTGTAAGGACGAGGCGGGTGCGGCGCGGCACGGCGAACGAAGGTTTTTCACTGGATCAAGATCAAGGATCAACCGTGTCTGCGGCCGCGCGCGGCTCTGCAACTTTGAGAGCACCTAATGCAGTGAGGGCGGGTCGTCCCCCCCCCCGCAAAGATGATCAGTTCACCGCTCCAGATTGATTTTGGGATCAAAGAACTATTTCTTCTTCTGGTTCGATTCTTCACAGCGCTAGCGCTGCTGCGAATGTAAGCTGCGCTCTGAGCGGACATGGAATCCTTCTGATGTGATAATCCATCTCCTCAGCCACCAGATGTTGTTGATCATCCGCGGATGGTCATACAGCTCTGGTGTCTTTCACCTTTGCTCCCTCGTCAACTGGGATTAAGATGCCAATGTTGTGTTATGACGGATTGGAAGTTCGCCAGGATTCAAGGAGTACTTCTCACTTTTCTTCTTGCTACATGTGAAACATACACTGTGTTCCGAGGCCCCGTCGGCAGACTGCGCCTGACATCGGCTGACTCATGCCGACGGGGATCAGCACCGCTTGAGACCGCTTGCCAACCTGACGTCGGCAAAATTGGCCTCGGTGCTGATCCCCGTCGGCATAGGTCAACCGATGTCGGCACAGCCTGCCGACATACCTGCACATATCATGCCGGTAATGCACGTAGAATCATATCTGTAAGAGGAATAGGTCAAAGATATATAGGCTCTAACAAGTGGCACCCCTCCTATTGACAATACCCACATGCCTACTACAGCAAATTTGAAGAATCTTGTGCAATATACTATCCTGGCTGCAACTACTGTCCAGAATATTGAAAACACAGCCCAAGTACCTTTTCTTGGCACAACTGCCGCATTGTCTTTGTCAATTACAAAGTCTGTTGAGGTAAGCCAATTCTTCTGGCCATTGGCACCATATTTAGCTATAAAAAAAAACAGACAATCAGATCAAACAAGGAAGAACATGCCGAGATTATGGAGCATATTCATGAAATCCTGTGCATAATTGTCCAACTTCATTCAAGTTCAGAAATCAAGGGTGTCCTTTCGACAGCACTCTTGTATGACATTGCAAAATTCACAGAGTGAGTCCCATTTAATAGTGACCAGGGATTCGATTAATATTTTACACCAGCACACTCGAAAAGCTGTGTACAGTCCTGAATGGGCAACAAAAAGGGACTCTGGGAAAACTCAAGAGCATCTTTAAACAGCCTGAGGCCACAGAACAAAGGAAAAAATGTAGGAAGGAGCTCACCAGAATGGTTGAATTGTTCAAGGTATATTGGATGAGATTTATTTCAATGCATATTCAAATCATTTGCAGGCTCAAGTTACAGGTTCTACCTTGTCACAAATGGGGCAAATGAAAAAGGATGCCAAAGAACAACATGAACAGCTTGTTACCCTTTTGGAGACTCACTCTGACCTCACCAGTTCTGATTTCTGCTCAGTAAGTAGCAAAAATGTGGCCATCAATTTATCAGCTCATGGTTATCAGGTGGCCGGAACTCTGTCAAGCTTACTGAATAATAGGTGAGCCAATCCTGCAACCACAGTCAGTCCTGCTAAAGTTCTTGAACAGTTCAGGCTCCTTTAATCTACTTCCACCCTGCCCACAAATCTTCTATAGCCGTGAAGGAGAACTCCAAGATGTGGTGAATATTCTAGTGCAGGATTCTGCCCACATTGTTATCCTAGGGGCAGGGGGCATGGGAAAAACCAGCCTTGCCACAGTGGCTCTCCATAATCCACAAGTGGAAGCAAAGTATTCACATCGATACTTTGTTCCATGCCACTCGAGCCCCACTTGCACTGAGCTGGCAGCAACAATTGCGGCTCACATTGGACTAGAGAAGGGCTCAAAAATGGCAAACAAGATTGCACATTACTTTGCTCATGCTCCTCCTTCACTTCTGGTCCTTGATAATCTGGAGACCGCTTGGGAAACACTTTCATCCCGCTCTGAGGTTGAAGAGTTCCTATCACTCCTGACTGATGTACCCCACCTGGGTCTCATGGTGAGTGATGTTTGCAGGCCTCTTGAATTATACCCTGAACTCCCTGTAGATCACCCTGAGAGGTGCTGAGCGACCAAGCAAAGTCAAATGGACCCGCCCCTTCCTGGCCCCTCTTGAGCCACTTTCCAATGTGGCTGCTTGGCAGACCTTCATTGAGGTTGCTGATGAAGGCCATGATGATGCCAGCATCAAAGAACTCCTTGAACTGACAGGGAATCTTCCATTGGCGGTCAGCCTCATTGCAAGTGTTGCTGGATCTGAGGGATGTGCCAAGGCACTTTCTCGTTGGAAATTGGAAAGTACTCGGATGCTTTCTGATGGGTATGACCAGAGATCGAGCCTGGATATATCCATCATGTTGTCATACACCAGCTCCCGTATGACCCCAGGTGCTCAGGAGTTGCTCAGCATTCTTTCCATGCTACCAGATGGGCTTGCAGATGCTGATTTGGTGCAGGCAAAGCTGCCAATCCCTGACATTCTTGCCTGCAAAACCACTCTGATCCAAACAGCCCTTGCCTTTGTTGGCCAGAATCAACATCTCAAAGTCCTGGTTCCAGTACGAGAGCATATCCTCAATAGTCATCCTCCAGCAAAGGCCTTGAAGCTAAAACTACGGGGACACTTCCATCAACTTCTTGATCTCTGGAACCAATTCAAGAATCTCAACATAACAGATATACAGCCTCAAATTTCACGAAATTTGGGCAACTTCAGCGCTGTTCTGAACAATGGTCTTGAAACAGGGGGGTCTGATCTGGTCCAAACTTTTAAGAGCATTCTGTTCCTCAATCGTTTCTATGCTCGGGTTCAAGACACATATTTTCCCCTGTTGCTGCAGCTTTCTGGGCAAATGCTGCATTGGAAAGGCCATCCAATCTTTGGGGAATATCTTATCGAGCTGCTGC